CGAATGGAGAGGCTCTTTCCTCTCCACCCCTCTTTGTCCCGGGGTTGGTATGTTCTCAGGAGAGATCTGTGCCGGAGCCCGTCTTCTGCTAGTTTTGCCACGTTGGGGAAAGACTTTGGGTTGGCTGGGGGTGATTTCTCACTCTATCAAGCTGCGTGTTTAGGCAGTTGTGCAATCTTGAGCTGCTGTTCCAGACCATTTGGGAAATGCCTGTGCTGCTTTGCTCGTTAATACTTTCCACGCAGGGGTTTTCTCTGCACACACCCTAGCACAGGCTAGCAAAAATTAGTTCTTGCATATCTTAGGCTTGTTCTTCCTATTCCTTCAGGAATGGGGAGGGGCGGACACAGAGCAGCGCAGAAGAGCACTGGAAGGGCAGGGTGAGAGGGGAGCCCTTCCCCTGGAGTTCGCTGCTTCTAGCCCAAGGAGGGCTTCAGAGAGCAGTACTTCCTGCCCGTCTGCCTGACTCGCTTGCCCTCCCACAGCCCTGAGACTTGCCACCGCCACTCGCCCGGCCCAGAGGTGGGCCCCGCGGGCCACAGGAGGGAGGGAGGGATCAAAGGACACCCCCTTGATGGAGGGCTTTTAAAAAAACAAAAACAAACGCCGGGGCGAAGCTTCGCCAAAGCGCATATCGGCAACCTGGAAAAAACAATGGCCGGCGAAAAGCGGAAGCCTCGGGCTTCCAAACGGAAGTGGCTAGACACCGGTGGAGAGCGATCAGACGCTGGGGTGCACCGTTTACAACCGTTGCACTCAGTTTACCACCACTTGGGACCTAGTGGCAGAGTGCAATGGTTTAAAGGGATTTACAACGGTTAGGGACGGGAGGCAGATGTTCGCCGTCTGAACGCCGGTAAGTACACCGGTTGGAATCGTCACCTATTCTGTTGTAAATCCCCCGTCTGAACGCACCCCATCAAGTGCTAAAATCACAAGAATGCACTTCTTGTGATTTTAGCACTTGATGGAGTAAGACTACAGACGTGAGTATCCCCCTGCTAGAAATGTCACGGTAGGCCTTAGGATGTTGCTCTTGGTTTTTCTACACCGTGACTATGTGTGGCCCGGAAATACACTACAGGTGCAGCAAACAGCACAGTCACGAACGCAGCAGTGGCTGATGGCTCAGTACATACATAGCTGGTGCACATTCATTTCTATAGCACCTAAAATCTACTAGTCATGTTAGTTTTTCTTCCCTGCATGCGTGACAGTGTGGAAGAATTAATCAGAGCTTCCACAGCAAACAACGGCTTGCTTCCACAGAGAACTCATCCACAGACGCGTGACTTCCCTGCCTCTCCCCCACCCCGCAGCTGGAAATGCAGCTCCTAGGAGGCAGAGAACAGCCATCCCAGGAATACTTTGGGGGGGGGGGAATTGGTGAAAATCACCCCACTCTTGTGTGCACAGAAGTTTAAGGTGGGATCCAATGGTCTATACCTAGTACTCTTGCTCCGGATTGCAAGACTAGGTCTAATGGGTGGAAACTACAAGGGAGTCGTTACTGGCTAAATATCAGGAGAAACTTCCTAACTGTAAGAGTGGTTGAGCAGTGGAACAGTCTGCCTTGGGAGGTGGTGGACGCTCCTTCGCTGGACGTTTTCAAGCGGAGGCTGGACGACCATCTTTCGGGTATGTTGTAGGGCTGTCTTTCGGCTATGTTCCTGCAGAGTCCAGGGGGTTGGACTAGATGACCTGCAAGGTCCCTTCCAACTCTTAACATTCTATGATTCTACTTGAGCTTCCCCCACTTAGATAAGTGCCTGATGTTGTCTGGCGCCCACAAGTCCAAGCATCTGGACAGTTCAGGATCTTTATTATATGCAAACGTTTATTATGAAAGGGTGAAGAGTCGTAGAAAAAAACATGGCCACGTTTTGTTGTGGAAAAGGCATTTGAAATACACAGCTTTTTAGAGCCTGCTATCTCCCTCCCTGCAGTCAGCTTGGTGTTTTGTTTTGTTGCAATGCTGTGCGTAATTTCTGTGACGTCATACAACAAGAGTGGAGTTAGTTATGGCTATAACACCCATCCCGACACCATACAAAACTAAAATAATCTCTGTCCGTGCTCGGATGGCCATCAGCCTGCCACAAAAATCAAGAAGCAAAGCTCAAAAGCTTACTGACCCTTTCCCCCTTCTTCAGGTGTGGACATTGCAAGCAGTTTGCTCCGGAATACGAGAAGATTGCCAAAACACTGAAAGAAAATGATCCCCCCATCCCAGTTGCCAAAATAGATGCTACGGCGGCCTCCGCTGTGTCGAGTCGTTTTGATGTTGGCGGTTACCCAACCATCAAAATTCTGAAGAAGGGGCAGCCAGTGGATTACGACGGCTCAAGGACAGAAGCGGGTAAGTAGCGCTGTGCTTAAGTGCAGGTTGCAGTGCATAGCTGGTAACCTGTTCCCAGCATACATTTCCTCCTTCAGGCGTGGCTTGTGAAATAAAGGGAGGACTAAGGGCTGTTTTGGAGCTGCGGTGGCTCAAGTGGTTAAGACGCTGAACTGCAGGCTGTGGAAGGTCAGTAGTTCAGCAGTTCGAGACCCGAGTGTGCCACATGACGGAGTGAGCTCCCGTCTCTGGCCCCAGCTCCTGCCAACCTAGCAGCTCGAAAGCAAGAAATTGCAAGTAGATAAATGGGTACCACTTCAGTGGGAAGGTAACAGCGTTCCGTCCGCCTTGGTGTTTAGTCATGCCGGCCACATGACCACGGAAACGTCTTCGGACAGCGCTGGCTCTTCGGCTTTGAAACGGAGATGAGCACCGCAACCCTAGAGTCGGACACGACTGGCTTTCGAGCGAGGGAACCTTTACCTTAAGGGCTGTTTCACAGGTGGTGTAACGGCAAGTGTCAGCATTAGATTGGGGGGAGGGTGCCCTCAAGCTGAAAGCTCCGCTCTGCCATGGAAGCATGTTGGGCCGATCTTGAGGCTGTCACTCTACCGCAGTCTAGCCTACCTCACAGGGTGGTGGTAGGGTAAGATGAAGCGGGGGGAGGGAATAATGTAAGCTGCTTTGGTTTCCATTGGGAGAGGAGAGTATAAACATCTAAAGAAATTAAAATTGTATCAAAGATGCAGGAATGACTTGGGAGCCTTCTGGGTATTATGTAAAGAGAGCCAGTTTGGTGTAGTGGTTAAGTGTGCGGACTCTTGAGAAACGGGAATGTTGATCTGGCTCACCTCTCGCTGTAAAGAAGGCAGTTTATGACTTGTATGTTTCAGTTGTTGGACTTTGGTGTTTTATCAATAAAAGGAAAATTAAAAAAAAAAGTGTGCGGACTCTAATCTGGGAGAACCGGGTTTGATTCCCCACTCCTCCACTTGCACCTGCTGATATGACCTTGGTTCAGCCACAAGCTCCGGCACAGCTGTCCTTGAAAAAGAGCAGTTTGTGTCAGAGTTCTCTCAGCCCCACCCACCTCACAGGGTGTCTGTTGTGGGGAGGGGAAGGGAAAGGAGTTTGTAAGCCACTCTGAGACTCCAAGTGAAGGACGGGGTATAAATCCAATCTCTTCTTCTTCTAAAGGGGACATTTGCATATTTTTCCCTGCACACGAAGAAGTGGAAAGGTGTGCCTGTCTCAGAAGCTCTTCAGCTCCCCCTTGTGGCACAGAAACCTGAAAGATGCTGCCGAGGATATATGTGGGGTCCAGAGTGTTCTTTAAACCCAAGGGTCTTGCACCAAAAATCAGTTTTGAAGGTGTCTTTTAAGATCAGTTTCTCGCAGTGCAACATCTCCATATTGAGAGAAGCTCCCAGAAGAATTTTCTGGTGTCCGAGACTAAGAGCAATCCTAGACAGGTCTACTTAGAATCCTTCTCGGGTCTATTCAGAGGGGCTCACTCCCAGGAAGGAATTCTTAGGACTACACCGCGAGTCACCAGATAACAGTTTTTATCAGAGCTCGGGTGGCAGAAAGCGTTCCCCTTCCCGCCTTCCTGCAGCTGCAGTCTCCCCTTCCACAACAATGTCAGCTAGGAATGAGGGCATTCTTTAATGCAGCCTATTGCCAGTTCAGGCCTTGTCAGTCAAATTCATAGTCTTCCCGAAGCAGGTTGCAGGACAGCAGATCATGCTGTGTGCATGGCAGGGGAACCTTTCCGGGGGGTTTCACAAGGGGAGGGAATGTATACGCGTTCATGCAATAAAAGAGACACAAGGTAGCTCTATGCGGATAAGTTTAAACAGTTCTTAAGGACTAGGGACTTGTCGACCTTACCCTTTAACGTCCTCAAGCTCATTTGCTTTATTTTCCCCCACACCAATGCTTCGTTACCGGGCTTTTGCACGTAGAGGGAGAAGTGCTGCATACGGGGATGCTGCTGGGATCGGGACAAAGCCTGCCCCGAGTGAGGGTATTGGTGGGCTGTTTCCCACTAACCACAGGCTTTGGTGGAGGTGGAACACACTGCAGTTTTTGCAAGGATCTTTGCAATATACAAACCCAGCTCTTAATTGTGTCTTCAGTTCACAAAGTCTTGCCTCTCTGTCTCTCTCCAGTTTGGTGCAGTGGTTAAGTGCGCGGACTCTAATCTGGGAGAACCGGGTTTGATTCCCCATTCCTCCACTTGCACCTGCTGATGTGACCTTGGGCAAGCCATAGTTTCTGGCACAGCTGTTCTTGGGAAAGAGCCGTTTCTGTCAGAGCTCTCTCAGCCCCACCTACCTCACGGGGTGTCTGTTGTGGGAAGGGGAAGGAGTTTGTAAGCCACTCCTGAGACTCCTTTGGGTAGTCAAGGGCAGGGTATAAATCCAATCTCTTCTTCTTCTTCTTTAAGAAATTGTGGCCAAAGTGAAAGAGGTTTCCCAGCCTGGTTGGACCCCTCCACCTGAAGCCACCTTGGTGTTGACGAAAGATAACTTCGATGAAACCGTGAACGAGGCTGACATAATCTTGGTTGAATTCTATGCTCCATGGTAAGAGGGAACCCTAGTTGCTTGTTCGACTTCTAATGGTTTGGTGTCTGCTTGTGGCTTCTATGTTGATCCAGAGATAAGCCCTGCATGCTGCTGAGTTCCTTTCAGAATAGCTGAACAAAGTTAGACCAGTGGCACTTTTAAGACTAAGTTTTATTCAGAATAGTTTGGTCTCCTGAAAAGGGGAAGTGATAACTTGCATTGTCTCGTCCAAGTGCATTCGCCTTTTTTCACGGCTCTGATTTCCGATGTGCAGCTTTGTGGTGTTACAGACTGCAGCTTTTTTTACTTGTAGTACGCATATCATTTGAATAACCATTGGCTTTACACGTAAAAAAAGAGAAAGCAGTGACCAGTTTGCAAGGTATCAACCAATCTTTTGAAATTGCATCATATTCTCTAGTGAAAAGCATTTGTTGTAATCTGAATTTTACAGTGGAAAGGCGTCTTGTTGTCTATAGTTGCCCACTGTTGCATATGAACATACACATTCAGTTGGAAACCTGGTTAGTATTCTTCAGCCTGCTGCATATCCAGGACACTTAAAAGATGCATTTGAGGTGTGTGCATCTGAATGTGTATATGGAGCTAACTATCGGGATTCATCTCACCCAATCCAAAGTATCTTCTGTAAATCTAAAAAATACCCTGATTTCCAACACTGATACTCTTAAAATGTTAGGAAACACAACATTGTTTTCCTATTCTTGTTCCTTTCTCTTTCATTTATAGTAAATTTCTTTCCATTCTCTTATAAAATGAAAGAGCTCCTTGAGAACTTTTCCCTGTGAAATTACCGGGTTTCTTTTCCTGTAGGTGTGGACACTGTAAACAGCTGGCTCCAGAATATGAGAAAGCAGCCAAAGAGCTTAGCAAACGAACTCCCCCTATTCCCCTGGCAAAGGTTGACGCTACTGCGGAAACCGATCTCGCCAAGAGATTTGACGTGTCTGGATACCCAACACTCAAGATCTTCCGCAAGGGCAAAGCATTTGACTACAATGGCCCAAGAGAAAAGTACGGTATGTTACCTCAAGCAATGTTTCTAACTTCTAGTTCATGCAAGAAATCCTTATAAATGCCACCTTTCTTCTTTGCCACCAACCTGTGAGCCTTTCTAAAACAGAGTGGGGGCTGAAATAGAGTTTTGCTCCTCAGGGAATTAGTCATGAGGTGGTTAAGGAATTTTGGCAAAAGATTGTAAGGGTTATCTTTGATTTATTTCAAGTTAATATAGAGATTAATAGGGACTTGCCTATTTCTGGAATATTGGGAAATAAAAAAGTGGAAAGAAACAAACGGGAGTTATATAAAATTATGGTTTTAGCAGGGATGGCTGTAATAGCATTGGGATGGAGGGATAGGCACAAATTGACAATGGAAAAATGGAATACTTATGTCTTTGAACGCGTACAATCAGATATATTCGCACAGATAATTACTGAAGAGACATGGGAGGAGAAATGTCAAAAGATTACGAATAAATGGGTGGGATATAAGGAATGGGTGGAAAGGGGGGAAGCCAATCCAAATATCCAAATACGAATGAAGAATCTGTGCACATGGTTAAAATATGAAGATACTATGAGGGGGGAGGGGGGTAAAATGATTGTATAATGATTTAATGTAAGATTATGTAAATAAGCGTCAATAATTTTAAAAAAAGGGAATGAGTCATGAGCATAAGCGAGCGGAGGTTTTTGCAAACCTTAAATATATTGGGCATCCCTGTTGCTTTCTCTGACTCTGTATGGCGGCAACATGGTGTAGTGGTTAGAGCATCGGACTAGGATTTGGGGACTCGGGTATCCCCACTCTCCCGCAGAAGCTTGCTGGGTGACCTTGATCCAGTCACTCTCTCTCTCAGCCTGACCTACCTCACAGGGTTGTTGTGAGGACAAAACGGAGGGGAGGAGAACCATGAAATCCATTTTGGATCCCCATAAAGGAGAAAGGTGGGGTATGGATGAAGTAAATAAATAAATCCTAGAACTGTAATGGTGTGAGCAGTACTGCAACACCCTTGCTTGCCACTCCAATTTCCCATAAACAGTTAAAATTTTGGTGAGTATTGTTTGTGTCTGGAAGTTATGTTTGACTTCTGGCGGACATTTCAGGGAGGTGGCTTATTGTTGCCTGTCTCTGCGTCCCTGCCCTGGTATTCCTTGGAGGTCTCCCATCCAGGTACTTGCCGGGGGTCGGCCCTTCTTCGCTTCTGAGATCTGATGAGACCGGGCTTCCTTGGGCTCTCCAGGTCAAGGCATCCGTCTGATTTTTCATTGCGCGCTCCTTGATGTCCAATGGTCAGTTCTCACGGGCAGGCAACCTTTCTGTGTTTGGGGGGTACAGATGGAGGAGGCCATTTTCTCCTGCCGCCTGCAGGAGATCATACCAGTCTTTTCTGTCCGGTGACCCACAAGTCTCAGTTAACTTTGGTTAGTTTATAGGACTGGCCCAAAAGATCACGTGTCATATTTCCCCAAGGGGGACTGTGTGCATGGTTGAGTGATATGTTTTAAAGAACATTCTGCTTGTGGTAAGTTTTAATTTGCATGCACAGATGGGAAGAGCTGGTTTGAAGGAGTTTTGGCGTGCCTTGCGGCTGAACTAGTTTCACTGGTTGTACTCTTGGCATGGGTTGTCTTCGTTGGATAAAAATTGAGGTTTTGCTTTGGTGGTTGTCCTTTCCCACCTCCTGATTTTGCACCCCTGCCCCTCATTCCATGTCGCAGCAGTTGCATGGCAGGTGCTGCATCCTGAAGGTACCTTTGCACCAATATCTCCTTAGCTTGAGTCTCACCTGGGCCGTCAACGCTGCCGGAGGAAGAACTGTGTTGTCATGCTGGGTTTTGCAACATCAGCAGTAGGAGGGGAGAAGTCACGGGCGAGTAGTGAGCCATAACCGTACCATATCGTGTTTTGAACCAGGTTTAGCTAATGGGGCAAATTCTGCAATATGGAGTGATAGGATTTTTTCTTTTCATTTAGGTTTCTTTTTAATCCTGATACTGTAGAGACAATAGCAGCATGACAATCTCCAGTTTTAGGGTGGCCACTTGGTACAAGAGAAGTACAGCTTGCAGAAGCGTGACTTGCTCCATAAAATTTATAGAATGTCACGTGTTTTAAAATGTCATCGTTCCAGAGCAGTAATAGCCCCTGTGGCAGAAAGTGCCTGCCCTGGCCTGCAGGCCCTATTCCGCCCTGCCCTCCAAGGTGTTTCTCCACATCTGGAGAGGCTTTTCTCTCTCTCTCTCTCTCTCCGGTAACTCACCACAACCACCTGAACTTTGCATGGGATTACCCACTGGGAGGGTCACGGCTTCCACCTTCCCTTCCAAGTTCTGAGAACCACCACCAGCATCAAAAAAGTATAAAGTAGTTATTAAAAAGAAAGTGTTTACAAGTATACTTTTAGCACCGCACCAGATAGAGCAAGGGAGACCAAAAGAGATGGGTAAAATGCAAATCCTCTGTCCCTTTCTCTATATATGCCCTATCAGATGTTAAAACAGGACATTACAGATCCCTATAGAATCTCCATTACCTTGAAGCTTGCTCCAGCTCTTGAGGCGAGCATATTATCAATGGCTGCCTTCCTAGTGGAGAGGTCTCTCTGGATGCAGCACCCAAAGAAAAGAGCCCCTTCTTGTTGCGAGGTAGTTTTATCATATCTTTTTCTCCACCCACTGACTAGGCCAGGTCAAGGAAGTGTTTCCTGCAGCTTACTCCTGGAGCCTTGCTAGTCTAGAGTCCTCCAAACCTCTGTTCCCTGCTAGGAGGAAGGGGAAGTTCTGGATCCACCCTTTATCTCCCCTCCTCGATCTATTAGCATTTGAATGAAGGTGAACTGAGTTACATCTGGAAAGCATCCCAGTCTTCCTTGATGGCCTCCCATCCAAGTACTGACTCTGCTTAGCTTCCGAACTCTGATGAAATCAGTCTCGTCTGGACTCTCAAGTTGTAACCAACTCATACTGATCCCATGACATTCTGCCTTATGGGGTTTTCAATTGCAAAAGATGAGCGGAGGTGGTTTGCCACTGCCTTCCTCTGCATAGCGGCACCAGTCTTCCCTGGTGGTCCCCCATCTGAGTACCAACCCTGCTTAGCTTCCAAGCTCTGATGAGATCAGGCTGATCTGGGCAGCTGATTAAATTTTTATGCAATAAAGGGTCACTGGTTGGGTTTTTTTTAAAGCCAAGTGATAACACTGTGTTTCTTCTTCTTCTTTGGACATAGGAATTGTGGATTACATGATAGAACAGGCTGGGCCCCCTTCAAAGCAGATCCAGGCTGTCAAACAAGTGCAAGAGTTTATAAAGGATGGCGATGATGTCATCATCATCGGGGTATTCAGAGGAGATCAGGACCCAGCCTACCAACTGTATCAAGACGCCGGTGAGTCTTTTCGGTATTAGAGAAGACGTTCTACAAACGTTGTTATTAGAGAAGACGTTCTACAAACGATATTAGAGAAGACGTTCTACAAACGTTGTGTCCTGAAGTCACAAACAAACCAGTTCGTTCATGGTGAGAGCCAAGAAAGATGTTCAGCCCTGTGTACTGAACGGCTTAATCCTGGTTTGTTGGCAGTATATGGCAATCTGCACCAGACTGGTGTTACAAGAGGCAAATTCTAAACCTGGAATTCAGTGAGAGAGGGGAGCGGAGGAGGGCGTAAGCCGGAAGATCTCCCGAGTCGTTCTCGCCATGGACACACACTGGTTGCTCACCTGAATAGGGTCCTATGCAGTGAGAATGGTATATAAGTCCTTGTGAATGTACAGAGGAGGGGAGGGGGTTTTGCTGATGGATACATAGTAGTTATGCCTTAAGGATCTGGCATATCTCCTCCAGCATCGGTTATTGTCGAGCCCACAGCCCTCAGTGTTTGCCAGTTATTTTCACTGAATTCTTGCATCGTGTCACCAGCAGTGGCTAAAAATGCTCTCTTAATTGCTGCCACCACACTGGTATAGGTCTCCTCGGGACGGCCCAGAGCCCCCACCGTACCCCTTTATACACACCCATTCTAGTATGTTTCTCCTTATAAGTGACCAAATGAGGCGTGAGGACCCAAGCAGTGTAACAAATGGAGGTGTGCATTCGGCAATAGCTGAACCGAAAAAATACCTTGTCGGTTATCACGTAAGCCGAATACAGATCAGAGATCCAAATAGTTTACCAGTACTGGATTGGGGGAATTTGGCATTTACTGATATTTTTCAGGTCTGATTTACCCAAAGCCAGAAATTAATTGGTTTCTTCCCCCCCCCCCTTTATTTTTTTGCACACTCCTAGTAACAAACTATTTTTATTAAGGAGACTTTAACAGTAACTGTAATTAAATAACTTGTAGGGAAATTGAGCACAGTAAAGTTAGTTAAATCAGCAAAATAAGGAATCCTAACACGTCTGACTAAGCTGTCCCTATTCCTCTCTGGCGCTTTGCCTCAAACTGACTTGCCCCTTTTGGATGAGGGATCCCTCCCTTTGCAGCAGCTTCACACCAGCTCTGCTCCCTGGTAGTGAACCCCCTCCCACTTTGGGGAAAGGCCTTTTATTCCTTCTTCCCAGGCACCACCTGTACCGGTATAAGTTTTCCCTCCAAATTCCCTGTTAGCCAATCACAGGGTACCTGGGAAATGTAGGTCCTGCTAGCTACTCTAATGCAGGCTTCCCTGGAGTCACTAGGCCTCCCTGGAGCCTGTAGGCCCCACCACTATGGTCCCAGGTTCATGACACATGGGGTGGGAGAGGAGGGACCACTAGCTGTCTGCTGGTTCCATGCCATGGATGAGAGAATCCACATACATGGCAGAATAGAGTATACAAGAAGCGGGACCTGCGATACTTGCGGGGGAGGGGGGAGTATGCCCCACGGCCTGCAAAGCAGGAGGAGGTTCTCACTGAGGAGGAGGTGGCAGCTGCAGGTGAGCCCAGCAGCAACGGTGGCAAGCCCTGCCCGGGTCCCAGCTGCCCGCCCACCCAGGCCTCCCCCCCCAGCCTCCTGCCCGCCGCGGCTTCTCCCCCCCAGCAGCAACAGCGGCAAGCCCTTTGCTCGGATCCTAGCTGCCCGCCTGCCAAGCCTCCCCTGGCTCCCTCACAACTGCCAGGAGCAAGCTCCGCCACAGTTCCAAACGGCAAGTCCATTCTCCATGCATCCACGAGAACACAGTTCCAGGGTTTTTTGGATTTAAGTATCCCTGTATGTTTTTTTAAAACATGTCAGATTTTTCTGCACACCTAAGTAATGCCTCAAGTGTGCAGGAATTTCTGTTGAGCCTCCATGTGCCCCCAATTTGCGGAAATAAGTATCCGCACGCACTGGGGACACTTGGCTATTAGTATATAGATTGGGGGAAATGGCACATGAATGTATACAGGCTGCCATCTGGAGTCGAATCCCCAACAGGAGCCGCAATCTCTCTTTTCGTATGGAAGGAGGGGTGTCTTCCAGAGTGCACAATCTTAAAGAATTTTAAGTGACTAGAGCAGGATTGGTTCTCTGGAAGGAATACCCAAGAACTAGGAAGGGTGCAGGGTGAGCAACTAAAATGAGCAAGAGGTTGGGACACCTTACCTGTACAGTGAATCTAAAGCAGCCGGAAAGCAGAACGCAAAAGATGGCTAAGGGGAAATGAGGATGAGGTTAACTTTTCCTAAACATACTACAGTTTGGGAATCTCCTACTGAAACTAGCTGGCACCAAGTTCAGGACAGACAAGAAGCAAATTTGTGTCATTCCTTTAGTGAAGTTAATTGCAGTAGTGATGGCTGCTAGATTAATCCTTTTTATTAAAAAAAAAAGTGCCATTTAATAGACACCTTTGTTGACAGTAGGCCTGTCAGCAATTAACCATGATTGCTGGATGGAGCCTCATTTGTGTAAGAGGCAGTATACTTTTAACTAGTCATGTCATTAAGACACCAGAGGATGCCTTAATATCCTGCTTGTGAGCACAGATTGATGGAGTAGAGGTCTGTCAAGTGGCTACTAGGGGGAGTCTCCACATTCAGAGGCAGTAAGCCTCTGAATCCCAGTGTTATACTGGGGCTTGGTTTCTGTGTCCTCCATAATAACTGATTGGCCACTGTGTGAGACAGGATACTGGACATGACGGACCACTGGTCTGATCCAGCAGGGCTCTTCTTATGTTCTTATCCAGTGGCATGGAGGGACTGTGTAAGAGGCTGGCTGTCCCCGTGTTCTTGTGTTTTTTACATGTGCAGTTTGAGGAAGTGTGTGTTGCACTGTTTAAGAAGGTGATCCTATATAAATTATTTGGATTAACTGCTTGCATTTATGATTCAGCAGCTGTTTTTTTCCTGATCTGGGTTTTTTCTTCTACATTTTCTAAGCTAACAATTTAAGGGAAGATTACAAATTCCATCACACCTTCAGCAATGAAATCTCAAACTTCTTGAAAGTGGATCCCGGGAAACTGGTGGTGATGCAACCTGAAAAATTTCAGTCAAAATATGAGCCCAAAATGCGTGTCTTGGCTATTGAAGTGAGTACTGATGTCAGCAGAAGAATAAAGTTGCGCCTACTGCATTTGCGACTTCTGTCCTTTTGGTGCTCGGCACTGCCTTTCAACTGATTAGTTCTCTTAAGTACAGGAGTCCCTTTATGTTGGGTGTCGACTTCGGCCCTTAGCTGTAGAGGGGAGTGGTCTTTCTTGCAGTGGACTTGACCTTTTGTACTTTGAGCTTGCCAAGCTCTGTGTAGAAACAGTGCTTGTACAGGTCAAAACAGTCCCCTACATTCTACAAAACATTGTGGGTTTTTCCCCTTAAGGGCAAACCAAGGTCAGAACCAGTGTTCCCTCTAAGCTGAGTTAGTGTGAGCCAGCTCACAGTTTTTTAGCCTCCCGCTCACAGATTTCTGTTCTAGCTCAGGAAGGACAGCACCAGGGCAAATTAATGTATGCAGTAGCCACATTGTTCTCTCACACCTTTAATGCCAGTAGCTCACAAAGTAGAATTTTTGCTCACAAGACTCCACAGCTTAGAGGGAGCATTGGAACTGTGGTAATGATTGAAACGAACATATTTATTTACTCCATTTATACCTCACCTTTTCCACCAGCGGCGACCCAGAACAGCTTACATTGTTCTCCTGTCTTCCATTTTATCATCACAAAAAACTCTTTGAGGTAGGTTAGGCTCAAGGTCACCGAGTGAACTTCCATGAGAGAGTTGGGATTAGAATCTGGGTCTCTCATATCCTGCTCTGACACTTTAACTACTACACTGGCTCTCACATGCTCAGTTTGAACAGACTGAAGAACGCCAAGGCGAAGGGAGGGATACGGCCTGAACTGTGATGGGACCGGGGAAGAGCCAAGTCGAGAAGATTGGGAAGTAGCTCCAGTCCGCATCTTGTTTTTGAGTACAAGGAAGGGATCACAGTTGTAGGTACATACCAAAAAACAAGGAAATACTGTGATAATAATTCATGTAAACATCAATATGTATATCTATTCAAACATGACATTTTTGCTTAGGAAATTCTGACATATTCAAGGAGAAGTCCAACATCATATCCTCCATGAGCACCCGGTTTTATACTCATTTCATTAGTTTTCCTCAGGAGTAATCCTCTAAGGTTGGAAGGTGTAAACCTCTGAGATGCTACTCCCATCCTGAGAGCAACTGAGCCAGCTACATGAGAGAGAAAGCAATTGCCAGCCAATTTGAATATAAGAAGGCTTCTAGCCAGATAAAAATAGTGGACTGGCTGCTACTTCTAGAAATCAAACTGGCTTGCTCCTAATGGAACTGGAAGATATTTTGGAAAAGAATTTCAGCTGCAATAAATGCAAGACAGTAAAAAAGAAATTAAACTGCAGTTTGGTGTAGTGGTTAAGTGCGCGGACTCTAATCTGGGAGAACCGGGTTTGATTCCCCACTCCTCCACTTGCACCTGGCTGGATGACCTTGGGCAAGCCATAACTTTGGCACAGCTGTTCTTGAAAAAGAACAGTTTCTGTCAAGAGTTCTCTCAGCCCCACCTACCTCACAGGGTGTCTGTTGTGGGGAGGGGAAGGGAAAGGAGTTTGTAAGCCGCTCTGAGACACCTTTGGGTAGTGAAGGGCGGGGTATAAATCCAATCTCCTCTTCTTCATAAGAAGATAAGCTGTATCAAGAGGTTTACACCTTCCAACCTTAGAGGATTACTCCTGAGGAAGACTCATGAAATGAGTATAAAACCGGGTGCTCATGGAGGATATCATGATGTTGGACTTTTCCTTGAATCTGTCAGAATTTCCTAAGCAAAATTGTCATGTTTGAATAGATATACAGTGATGTTTACATGAATTATTAAATGTTATGTTTATCACAGTATTTCCTTGTTTTTTGGTAAGCATCTTGTTTTTAGCAGGGAAGGATACATGATGTCATTATGGAATAAATCTTCTCTCTATCACCGTTGACTGATTGTGGCTTTATCATGAGTAAATCATAACTTCTGTGTGAAAAATGGACAAAAGTATGTCCTACACAGCAGGAAATACTGAATAATCCTGAACATTTTCATACTCTTGAGTCTGGATGGTATAAAGTATCCTCAGTACCCATAGAATCTTTCTTGATATTGAGTCAAATGCCGACTTAAAGTCAACAAATGCTACATATAGTAGTGCCATAGCTTTAGAGGAATTCTTTGCACTTAAATGTTCTAATATCATGCAATGATCTATAGTTGAATAATTTTCTCTAAAACCTGCTTGCTCCTCAGCCATATATTTCTCTTGTTCAAACCAGTCTCTAAAGTTCCACTGTAAATGCCTTGCATATAATTTGCTTAGAGTACTAAGTAAGCCAATTGGTCTATAATTTGCAGGTACGTCCTTATTACCTTTCTTTTCTTTTTTTGGTAAACAAATTTTATTTTCTCAGGAATACAACATATAAAACATTTCATTCTATCAATTGTCTACCCCATTCCCAGTTCCTCCCCTCCCTCCAATGGCTTCCCACAATGCTTCCACCCCTGCTCCAAATTACTTCATATCATCAACAATATCAGTTTTTCATCATTACAATCTAAAGATAACATCGTTTGACTTAATATTGATCTAAACATATTAAGTTTTGTTTCACATCCCAGTTCTTTTCCAGATAAATTTTAAAATCATTCCATTCTCCAAAAAACTCATCGTCTTCTTTGTTATTCAGTTTTTTTGTAATCTTATCCATTTGTGCCATGAACAGAACTTTTTGTATCCATTCTTCAACCTCTGGTACCTTTTCCGTCTTCCAAAACTGAGCATAAATCATTCTCGCTGTCACTATCAGGTACCAGAGTAAAGTCTTTTTAGTCGTATTGACTTCTTCCATTTTAAGTCCCAAAAGCAGAATTTCCGGTGCTTTTTTAAAAGAACATTTCAGTATTTTTTGCATTTCATTGTGGACTTTTGTCCAAAAGTCTACAGCTTTCTCACAAGTCCACCACATATGATAAAATGAGCCCTCATGCCTCTTACATTTCCAACATTTGTTTGACATATTTTGATTCATATTTGCAATCTTCTTAGGTGTCATGTACCACCTATACATCATCTTATAACAATTTTCTTTAACATTAGTACATGTCGAGATCTTAATAGAATTTTTCCACAAATATTCCCAGGTTTCCATAGCCACTTCCTTATTCATATTAATAGCCCATTTTAACATTTGTTCTTTAACAGTTTCATCTTCAGTATACCATTTTAACAACACCTTATACATTTTAGAAATATTTTTTCCTCCTCCACTCTCCCATACCTTTTCAATTTCATTTTTTTCCTCTCTAAAACCATAGTTTTTTTTGTCAGATCTAAAAAGATCATAAATCTGCATATATTTCAACCACTCATATTCATATTCAATTTCATTCTGCTTTTTCATTACCCACTCTGTTCCCTCTTTTTTAATTAAATCTCTATATGGCAACCAGTCTCTACCTCGCTGTCTTGAGTAAGATATCAACACTTCTACTGGTACAATCCACAATGGTCTTAAGTCACTCTGGTACTTCTTATATCTTGTCCATACCATATACAAAGCTTTTCTCACCAAGTGAAGTTTAAAAAAACTGTCCATTTTTATCTTGTCATACCATAAATATGCATGCCAGCCAAATCTACAATCATGCCCTTCCAACCCCAACAATCTGTCATTTTCAAGCTTCACCCATTGATCCATCCATGTTAGACAAACCGCTTCATAATATAGTCTAAGATTTGGCATTTGTAGACCTCCTCTTTCTTTGGCATCACAAAGTATTTTCATTTTGATCCTTGGTTTCTTGCCTGCCCAAACAAATTTTGACAACTCTTGTTGCCACTTGGCCAACAAATCCGTTTTATGCAGAATTGGTATTGTTTGGAACAGGAACATCAAACGTGGTAGGACATTCATTTTTATAACTGATATTCTTCCCATCAGTGATAAGTTCATTTTATCCCATTTCTTAAAATCTTGAGTCAGCTTAGTCCATAATTTCTCATAATTATTCTTATATAGGTCTATATTTTTTGCCGTTAATTCAATTCCAAGGTATTTTGTTTTTTTAACTACTTCACATTGTACCAGTTCTTGTAGTTCCACTTGTTTTTGTTTGATCATGTTTTTACATATAAGTTTTGTTTTATTCTTATTTACGTAAAAGCCGGCCAATTCTCCAAACTCCTTTATTTTTTGAAAAAGCAATGTCAATTTTTCTGTTGGGTTTTCCACCATAAACATTACATCGTCTGCAAATGCTCGATATTTGTATTGGTGTCCTTTATGTGTCAAGCCCTTTATTTCTTGATCGTACTGTATTTTTTGTAAAAGTATTTCCAATACCCAGATAAATAATAACGGTGATAACGGACAACCTTGCCTTGTTCCTTTCTGTACTTTGAAGTTATCTGTCAGTTCTTTATTCACATTTATTTTAGCTCTTTGTTCAGAATAGATAGCTTCAATACAATTTCTAAAATGTTGTCCCGCTTCAATCTTTTCCATCATCTGGTGCATAAAATTCCAATTAAGATTGTCAAAAGCTTTTTCTGCATCAACAAACAGAAAAGCTACTTCTTTTTCTGGGTGCTTTTCATAATATTCAATTGCGTCCATTACTATTCTTACATTGTCTCTAATCTGCCTTTTGGGTAAAAAGCCCGCTTGATCTTCAGAAATTACCGTTTGTAAATAGTTTTTCACCCTTTCTGCAATAATTTTTGCAAAGATTTTATAATCGTTGTTCAAAAGAGATATTGGCCTGTAGTTCTTTACATTTGTTGAATCTTGTCCTTCCTTTGGAATCAAAGAAATAATTGCTTCTTTCCATGAGTCCGGCACCTTTTTGTTTTCTCTTATTTCGTTGGTTAAAGCTTCCAGGACCGGGGAAATTTCTTCTTTCATCTTTTTGTAGAATTTCGCTGTAAATCCGTCCGGCCCAGGCGCCTTCCCCAACTTTGTCTCTTCTATTGCCTTCATCACTTCTTCTTTTTGAATTGGACCATTTAATAAATCTTTGTATTCCTTACTTATTTTTGGTAGTGGAATCTCCTTTAAATATGTTTTAATCTTCTCAAGATCAACTCTAGTTGTTTGGAATAGTTTAGCATAATACTTGAAGAAACATCTCTTTATTCCATTAGGATCAACGAACTCTTTTCCATCTTCTATTATTTTGGTTATCATTCTTCTCTCTCTTCTAGCCTTAAGTTGCCAAGCTAAGTATTTTCCCGGTTTGTTCGCCCCTTCAAAAGATTTCTGTTGTAACTTCTTTAAATTCCAATACATTTCCTGATTCCAAGTCTCATTCAGTTGTTCCTTCAGCAACTTTAATTCTTTAATAATTTGCTTTTTTCCAGGCTTCTTTTTTAATTCCTTTTCTTTCTGAGCAATTTTTTCTAACACTTCTGTTTGTTTTTGAAGTTTTTCCTTTTTTTGCTTCACGTTTTGCGAGATGAGAATTCCTCTCATCACCGCTTTATAAGCATCCCATACAATCTGTATCGGTGTTTCTTTATTTAAATTTTGTTGAAAGAATTGTTTCGTTTCTTCCTTTAACATCTCAATTACCGTTTTCTTATCCAACAAGTCTTCATTAATCCTCCACAGAAAGGGTTTTTTCCTTTCTGTGGAACTCCATACCACCGGATTGTGATCTGAATTACATCTTGGCAAAATTTCAGTCTTATGTGTTTTCATTGATAATTCTTCAGACATCCAAATCATATCAATTCTGGAAAAAGAGCAATGTCTATTGGAATAAAAAGTAAAGTCTTTCTGCATCGGGTTCCATTTCCTCCAAACATCTTCTAATTTTTCTTGCTTAACTAATTCAAAAAAATTCTTTGGCAATTTTCCGCTGAATTCGTTGTCCTTTTGTGGTTTTCTGTCTAGACGATCTATTGTCCCATTAAAGTCTCCGGCCATAATAACTTGCTCATAAGTCAATTGTTGTAATTGGTCAGTTATATCCTTAAAAAATTTTTCCTTTGCTCCATTGGGTGCGTACACGTTGATCAACAATGTTTTTTTCTGCTGAATCATTAATTCCACACCCACGTATCTGCCATCTATGTCCTTAAAAATTTCTGTAGGTTGTAACTCCTTCTTCACATATGTCACAACTCCTTTTTTCTTGTTTGAGGCCGCAGAACAAAATTCAATTCCAAATAAAGCATTCTTTAAATATTTTATATCCTGTTTTCTAATATGTGTTTCTTGCAAGCATATCACGTTGCATTTCTGTTTCTGTATCCAATGATTGATTCTTTTCCTCTTGTTTGGTGAATTTAATCCATTAACATTCCATGACAACAATTTGTACTCCATTATGCGTTTTATTTTAAAGTTCTCCAAAGACGTCCGCATTGTCCGCCTTAAATTTATAAAAGTCCATCATCGATCTGATCTGAATCCTCCCACCTTGATACGTAAAGGATAAACCTTGTGGAATCTCCCATCTATATCTGATGCTCAAAGCTCTGAGTTTGTCCGCCAAGGATTTATACCTTTTCCTGTCTTGCAGTATTGTTCTTGGGAGTTCTCTCATCACCATAATTTTGTTTCCCTCTATTACAAAAGGGACGTTGAATTGCTTCTTGAATATCTCCTCTGTTATTGATCTTGTTACAAATTGTACAATTACATCCCTTGGTAAATTCTTCTTTTCTGCAATTCTGGAGTTCACTCTATAAATCAAATCAAAGTCTGAGTCCATTGACCCTTCCTCCTCGCCCAAAAAGGCCGTTATCACTTCCATCATTTTTTCTTTTAAGTTCTCATTCTCTGTTTCCTTAATGCCTCTGAATCTCAGATGAGTCTGCATCCTTCTGAACTCCATCATTGTCTCTGATCTTGTAATTTGTTGAGTCAAAGAATCTTGTTTCTCTTCTATTTTTTGTATCTTCTCCTCTGTCTCTGTAGTCTTGGTTGCATTTGCTTGAACATCCTTCTTAACTCCTTCCATTTCTTGCTTGATTGAAGTTATTTCTGTAGTAACCAGTTCCTTCAATGCTGTTATGTTCTTCTCTTGGACTTCTTCTAGATGTTTCAGATGAATCTGAGTTTGCTTCTCCAGTTGGTCCCCCAATGTTTTTTCTATCTGCTCCCCCATGGCTTGTATTATTACCTTTCTTGTATATAGGAACAATAATTGAACCCCTCCAATCCTTTGGAATATTCCCTGTTCTATCAGTTGCTGTAAATAAGGCTGCTAGGACCAGAATCCACCATTCTGAATGCTTTTTTATTAGTTCCGGTGGAATCAAATCAACACCAGAAGCTTTCCCAGATCTTAATGTTTGAATGATGGTTTTAACCTCAGTAGGTTCAACTGGTGGCCATTCTGGAAGGTTTACCGCACTACCATCATCAATTTCCTTATTATCAGCATATATTTCCTCTCATAAACTGTAAGGCTCAAACTTTTGTGTGGGATTTTTAAGACCTGCCTACAATACTGTGTTTAGTGTAGCCGTTAGTGTGATGGGCTAGATCTGGGAGACCCAGGTGTGAATTCCCACTCTACCATGAAAGCTTGCTGGGTTGAGGAGCTAGCCAGTTTGGTGTAGTGGTTAAGTGCGCGGACTCTAATCTGGGAGAACCGGGTTTGATTCCCCACTCCTCCACTTGCACCTGCTGTTGTGACCTTGGGTCAGTCACAAGCTCTGGCACAGCTGTCCTTGAAAAGGCAGTTTGTGTCAGAGTTCTCTCAGCCCCACCCACCTCACAGGGTGTCTGTTGTGGGGAGGGGAAGGGAAAGGAGTTTGTAAGCCGCTCTGAGACTCCCAAGTGACTCCTCCTCCTAGTCTCACACACTGAACCTAATGAAAAAGGGGAGGCTGGAATATGTCTCCCTGAGCTATGGGGGGAGGTAGGGCAGAACAAAAACGTAGTTAGTGAAGGAATAAGTGAATAAATGTCGGCTCTTTCAAATATTGCCTCTTATTTTTTTTACTATAAACAGGAGTCCACCGAAGCTGCTGCAGTTGAAGAGCATGTGGTGAAGAACGCGTTGCCTCTAGTTGGTCATCGCAAGACTTCCAATGACGCGAAGAGATACCGAAAGAAACCTCTTGTGGTTGTATATTATATGGTAGACTTCAGTTTTGACTATCGTGTGGGTAGGTATGCCTTCAGAAGAGGGTTGCTTTGCAAGAGCCAGTGTACAGCAAAAGCAGAAATCTCTCTTTAACTTTTCTGGTGTGTGTTTCGTGATTTCCAGCAACTCAGTACTGGCGAAACAAAGTTCTGGAGGTGGCGAAGGACTTCCCAGAATATGCGTTTGCCATTGCTGATGAAGAAGACTATTCTACTGAGATAAAGGATTTGGGGCTAATTGACAGTGGAGAAGATGTCAATGCGGCCATCTTTGATGAAGGGGGCAAGAAATACGCCATGGAACCAGAAGAGTTTGACTCAGATGTGCTACGAGAATTTGTCTTGGCATTCAAAAAAGGTATGTGATGGCTGGGGTTGTAACCGATGTTTGCCACCTCCCAATTTAGCTGCGGGGTGGTTCTCTCGCATCTGGCGCTTCCATAGGGGCAGGTGAACTCTCCGAGGGACTGGATAGATCTTTGTCTAGGTAGCACCATGCTTACAGGAAAGTAGCTCAGAGCCTTCAGACGTTCAGACAAATAGATTTCTCAAAGATCTCATTTTAAATATTCAGTCCTGCCCTTTGCGTGCTTAATGACACTGGGTTGGATCCAGGGATGCTCGAGCTAAAAGGAAAACATACTTGAGCGCAGTTCCTCTCTAGCAGATGCTGCAGTGATTGCATGGCACTCCTGTTTAGTTTTTTAAAACGGTAATCGTGTACTTGTGGAGTACCTTCCCTATGAGGAAAGGCTGAAGAGTCAGGGAATTTTCAGTTTAGAAGAGAGGGGACATGATAGAGGTTTATAACATTATGCGTGGGGTGGACAGAGTGGACAAAAGTGTTTCTCCCTCTCCCAAAAGACCAGAACTCGAGGGCATCCAATGAAACTGATGGGCAGTAGGTTCAGGGCGGACAGAAGGAAATACTACTTTACACAGAGAATGGTGAAATGTGGAATTCGTTGCCAGAGGATGTCGTGATGGCCACAGGAATAGACAGCTTCTAAAGGGGATTAGATAGTTTCATGGAGGATAATTCTATCAGTGGCTACTAGCCATGGTGATTGAGGGGAACCTCTACATCCAGAGGCACAAATCCTTTGAATTCCAGAGCCAGGAGGCAACATCAGGGACGGCCTCGGCTTCTATGCTCTGTTGTCATTCCAGAGGAACTGGTTGGTCACTGCGTGAGAAGGGATGCTGGACTAGATGGACCAGTGGTGGTCCAGCAGGGCTCTTCTTACGTTCTTACCTGTGGAGCAATGGACTATACAACAGATGGCTCGCAGGGCTTTATTGGAATAGCTTTTGAGATCGTATTAAAGGAAACGTCTTGCGCATGTGAAAAAACAGGAACACTGTTCACTGGAAGCAGGCAGGAGTGAGGAAAAATTGTTGCCCTTCCCACTTGTGGATTGACTGTTGCCGCTATGGGACCCAACACAGTCTTTTGACACCTTTGACAAATGGTGTGATGACAGTTGCCGCCAAGCTGGAGATGGACTGTGGCGAGGCTCTTGCAGTCCCTGTGACAAGTGGGAATCACATCTGTGCAGCCAAAACTTCTCATCAAACCTGACTGAGCATTTTTTTCCCCGTTAAGTGCACCTCTGGTTACTAGTGCAGGTCAAACTTCCGTTTTCAAGGTACAGCTGTAGCACAAAGAAGTTATCTCTCTAACAGCTGTTCTTTCCTTTTCTCCTCCCAGGTAAACTGAAACCCATTGTGAAATCCCAGCCGATACCCAAAAACAACAAGGGCCCTGTGAAGATTGTCGTTGGTAAAACCTTTGATTCTGTAGTATTGGATCCTAGCTCGGACGTCCTCATAGAACTCTATGCCCCCTGGTGTGGGCACTGCAAGAAACTTGAGCCTGTCTATCTAGAGCTGGGTAAAAAGTACAAGAATCAGAAGAACCTGGTGATTGCCAAGATGGACGCTACCGCCAACGACATCACCAACGACAGCTACAAAGCGGAAGGATTCCCCACCATCTATTTTGCTCCCAGCAACAAGAAGAACAACCCTATTAAGTTTGAAGGTGGGGAGAGAGATCTGGAGCACTTGAGCAGATTTGTAGAAGAACATGCCACCAAACTGAGCAGAACGAAAGAAGAACTTTGAATGGAGCAAAGACCATCCAACGGGGAGGGGCGGGGAGTTGATGCAAAGTTAAAGAGGTTCAGAGGAACAGCTCAGCGTTCAGAACGCTTGGAGTTTGGGGGATGACAAAACGATGCAGTATGAAACTTTATTACACAAGAAATGCGGACTCTGAACTTTTCCGATGTGATTTTTTTTTTTCATTAGTTAACCGTTCTTTATTTCATGAGGGAAAAAATACATTATTTTTTGTGACTAACTGAAGCTTGGTCCTTGTGGTATTTTATTCCCTACTCCAAACAGAGCTTTAAGGATCTGTCTTAAACATCTTCCAGAGGTTTCTACCTGTAAGGGAGGAGCACCTTTCTTGCACTCAGCTGAGGTATACAGACATATAAAGCGCTAATGCTGCCGCCTCCAGGGTTTGGTCTTTGCGTGCCGCAGTACAGAACAGAGGAGTAACTCTTTTTTCCCCAAAAAAACAATTTATTAGGATATAATAAGAAACAAAAGATTCAAACATGTATCAAACACAATTTTATATCCTTCCCCCCCCCCCCTCGGCTTCCCACAGTGCTCCAACCTCTACCCCAATTTTTAAATTTTCTTTATAACTCCTCTTCTCTTTTTTCACTTCCACAGGTAACTTATCTTTCAATCGTTATTCTTATACATTTATTATTTTCTACTATCCTTTAACTTTCAATCATTCTCAAAGCAAAGTAAATTGTCCTTTACATCCCAGTATTTCTCCAAATAGTCTTTAAAGACTTTCCAGTCTGCAAAAAATTCTTCTGCTTCAAAATTATTAATTTTCCTAGTCATTTTATCCATTTCAACCATAAAAAGTAATTTT